GCGCCTCTACAATAAATCAAAAAGTTAGCAGGGTGCTGTGGCACACGCCTGTAATCCCAGAACTTTGGGTGGCTGAGGCGAAAGGATTCCCTGAGCCCGCGGGCTCGAGACCTGCCCCGATACCTTGGCAAGACCTCATCTCTACAATAAATCAAAAATTAACCAGGTGTGGTAGCGCGTGCCTGTATTTCCAGCTACTTGGAAGGCTGAGGCAGATGGATCACCAGAGCCCAGCAGATCGCTGCTGGGGTGGCTGTGAGTGTGCCACTGCACTCCAGCCTGGGCGACAGAGTGAGACTCCAACTCAAAAAAAAAAAAAAATTCTGTAGCTTTAGTAATTTGTGATACACTGAAATTTCTAACACGTATTGACCTAGTTGATCCTCTCATGCATTTTACTCGGTCCAGTCCAGCAATGAGAATGTTCATTCTGCATCGCTTTGAGCATCATCTAGATAGCTACATAGACGAAGTAAATTCACAGAACACTTAATAAAAATTTTCTATAAAAATAAAACATTTCCTTTATTAAAACTGCACAGAGAAGCGCGTAGGACTACAGCGAATCACTGACATGAAGGCCTACGTCTCCAAGAAGTCAGATGGTGGCCAAACCCCAGGCTCTGCAGATCCTGGTGCAGGGGTTGCTGAGGACCCAGGCCAGCATGAGGAACGACAGCAGCAGCAAGCCCTTGGCAACACACGCAGAGTAGGGCTCCCCTGGAAGACAGTGAGCAAAAGACAGCAACAGAAGCTAAAACATTAATAGTGATAATTTCTAAGTGGCAACGTGATCAGCAAATTTTTTTCTTTTTAAGGTTTTCCTGTATGTTTTAAGTTTTCTGTGACACACAATTTTTTATAAGAATTTTTAGCCGGGCTTGGTGGCTCAGCCTGTAATCCCGCGCCTTTGGGAGGCTGAGGTGAGCGGATTGCCTGAGCCCGCGGGTTCGGGACCCGCCTGGGCAGCAAGACCTCATCTCTACAATAAATCAAAAAACCAGCCGGGCGTAGTAGTGCATGCCTGTAATTCCGGCTACTCGGAAGGCTGAGGCGGAAGGATCGCCGGGGCCCAGCAGGTCGAGGCTGCGGTGGCCGGGAGTGGCCACTGCACTCCAGTCTGGGCGACAGAGTGAGACTCCAACTCAAAAAAAAAAAAAGAATTTTTAAACTGACATAATTGACAACACAAATCTGTCTTCCCCCTACCTTGGTAATACTGGGTCCATGGATATAGAAGTTGCGGCCAACACAGCTCATTTCTGTTACAGTCATACTCTGTAAAATTGATCTGGAATCTAAAACATTTTAGAAGGTTACCGACAAGTGAAAAGCATCAAAACTTGATTAAAGGAATAAACTTTCTATTTTCAAACACATCTTATTCGGCTTCCTCATAATATCATCTGGGTCAGAGACTGGATTACCTTGTCAGGGGGCGGGGTAACTGCGCAGGTATTTTAATAAACCGGACGGATGCACTGAGAGGGACAAGGTCGGCCTTATCCTCACAAGTAAGCCCACACTGGTATTGCCAGGTCACTGAGGAGAACCTACGAGGAAAAGATTATGCCAGCAGCATAGCCACCATTCATTTCTATTCTACTAAAAACATCAGGTAACGGATACAACCGTGACGCACAAGAGGAGACCCAGAAAAACCCAGAATTATCTTTTTTTGGAGGGTAGGCCCCTTGTAGTCCAGGCATCCCACACTATGTAAGTGCTCTAGGAACCCAATGGCATCAGTGTACCAGCTAGTGTTGTGAGAGACTGCATTCTGCTACAGTGAATTGATTTTGGAAATTCTTTCAATGTGTTTGCCCATTTCATGATGGGTGATTTACTGCTTGTTTAGCAGTTTTCACCAAAATGGCATGACCACCACACCCCACACTCCCTATTCACCTGATCTCACTCAGAGAGACTTTCTTTTTTGTTTCCTCAAAGGAAAACGTTTTGCTAATGTGGAAGAGGTAAAACAAAAACGGCAGAAGCACAAAAAGACTTCAAAATTGACGAATTCAAAACTGTTTGGAGCAGTGGAAAAAGCATCTTAATAAATGTATTGCATCAAATGGAGAGAACTTTGAAGGTGACTGAAGTTTAAACAAGTAAGAATAAATACACGATTTTTTATAAATAAGTTCTGGGTTTTGGGGGTCCCCCCTTGTAAACTGGGGTTCTCTCTTTATTTATTATTATTTTTTGAGTTGGAGTCTCACTCTCTTGCCCAGGCTGGGGTGCAGTGGCATACTCAAGCCACCACACCCCTGACCTGCTGGGGTCCAGCGATCCTTCTGCCTCAACCTTCCAAGTAGCTGAACTACAGGCGCATGCTACCACGCCCGTCTAATTTTTTATTTATTGTAGACACGAAGTCTCACCAAGTTGCCCAGACAGGTCTCAAACCAGCGGGCTCAGGCAATTCACTCACCTCAGCCTCCCAAAGCGTGGGATTACAGGCTGAGACACCGAACTCAGCTAATTTTTTTTTTTTTTTAGTTGGAGTCTCACTCTGTCACCCAGGCTAGAATGCAGTGGCATGATTATGGCTCAACGCAGCCTCAACTTCCTGGGCTCAGGTGATACTTCTGCCTCAGCCTCCCAAGTAGCTGAGACTACAGGTATGTGCCACCACACCTGGCTAATTTTTTAATTTTTTTGTGTGTAGAAACAACGTTTCACTATGTTGCCCAGACTGGTCTTGAACTCTTAGGCTCAAGCAATCCTCCCATCTCAGCCTCCCCAAGGGCTTGGATAACAGGTGTGAGCCACCGCACCCAGCCTAGCCAGCACATTTTATACAGGTGCTATTAAAGGTAACTTGTTTCATCACTTGTTTGTCTCAAACAATACAGTATCAATAACAACAGCTAATCATTTATTAAGGGCTTTCCGTGTTTTAGACACAGATCTAAGGTGCGTTATACACACCACCTCATGTAATCCCTACAACACTATGAGTGAAGAGGGTTTGGTGAGTAATACCTGTTCTTTCTGCTGACCCAACATCCCTTCTCTTCTCTTTAGGCAACTGCACCCTCAAGTGCTCTTTGGAAACCATCACCTCCCACTCTTAGTGCAGTGGACCAGCCTGAATCTAGGGGTGAGCCCATACCCTGAGTCTAGCCAACCAGAGCTGTGGCCCTAGCCATAGTGATTGGTTCAGAAAAGACCACGTGACCCAAACTGAACCAATACAAGTCTACCCCAATCTTTTAAAAAATATATGTGAAGCTGGGCTCGGTGGCTCAGCCTATAATCCCGCGCCTTGGGACGCTGAGGTGAGTGGACTGCTGAGCCCGTGGGTTCGAGACCCGCCTGGGCAACTTGGCGAG